TTAAAAAGGTTAATTTGCTTAACGCGGCTCTCGGGTCTGGCTGCGGTGCGGCTCCCTCCCAGGCCGTGTGACATCTGTCCCCCTTCCCCTGCCCCCCCACCACCATGTACATATTTGCATAAAACTATATATTCACCTCCCTGTTGCCTTCTCTTGCCCATGAGACCCTCTGTGTCCTCGTGCTTCACTCCAATTACACCCCCTCTCCCATTGTGCTTTCTCTGCCAGTCTTCAGGAAGCTCTGAATCAGGCGTCCCAGCCTTCGACGATCAAAGGGCAGCCTTCCCGTACCCCCTCCCAGGTGACCGTGCTAAGCGTAAATGCCTCCCTGCTGGCCAGGAATGGAAGCGTGCATCTGGAGAGCTCTCAGGACAAGGCCTCCACCGTGGGCACCACCAGCCTGCAAGATGATTTCGGTACGCAGAGCCGGAGCGACGTCATGGCGCAAAGGGGATGCGTGGGAAAGTGCAGCTTAGTGAATGTGGTCATGGTCAAGGTGCAGAAATCACTTGTTTGGAAAGGGAGGCAAAAGAAAAAAATATATATTATGTGCAAATTTATTGATCTCATCTACGAAAACATTTTGAAGAGATTATGTAATTTAGACCAGGAAGTCTTGTTCTTCCAGTTAAACACATTGGCTTTTGACTTGCTTTTAAGAAGTATGAGTTTGACTTGTATGAGTAACGCCTCTTTGGTCTAGAGATCGCTGTGTGTGGTTTTCTGTTTTGTTTTGTTTTTTTAAATCTGTGAGCTAAAAATGGGGCAGTGGTTAGCCCTGTAGTCTCACATCTCTCAGACCAGGGTTTGAGTCTCGACCACGGCTGCGTGTGGAGTTTGCATGTCCTAGCCGTGTCATCGTGGGTTTCCTCTGGGTGCTCCGGTTTCCCCCCACAGTCCAAAAACATGCCGAGTTACCAAAATGCCCGTGGAGGTTTATGTATAAGTGAATGGTGCATGAGTGAATGATGTGTGAGTGAATGGTGCGTGAGTGTGCCCTGCGATGGATCGGCACCTTGTTCTGGGTCGTTCCCCATTTTGCGTCTGTAGCCTCCCTGTCAGGTTCCGGACCCCCGACAACCCTGAACAGGACCAACAGTTACAGAAAATGGATGGTAAAAATAAATGGCATATATGGTAATGGATAATGTGCGATATTATAGATTTCCGGAGTCGGCTGTTGTTGTTAGTGTGCTAAAAGGCGGCGATTTCGTTACAGGGAAGCTCACCCCCTCCCTGTATGAAGCTGCCGGCTGTGATATGTCTCTAGTAAACTTTGAACCTGCAACCAGACGAGCCTCTAACAATATCTGGTAAGATGGATCGGAGCACGATATTTGTGTGTTTTTAAAATTCTGTGCCCCTTTGTACTGATAAAGTAGAGATTTATTGAATCAAACATTATATCCATACATTATGGTGTAACTGGTGTGTGTTTTTTTTTTCTCTCCTCTTTCTAGGGATACAGATTCCCATCTCTCCAGTTCTACCTCAGTTCGCTTTTATCCTCATGACCTGGTGAGTGTTAGGCTGAGTGTGGGGAACAGTGGCCGTAGCGACAGAGCACTGGCCCTCAACTGTGGGGCGGTTCTCCCTTCCCCAGATTCGACTTAACCGTCTCCTGACAATGGACCCGGAGCTACTAGAACAGCAGGATGCTGATCTGAGCCCAGAGCTCCAAGATGCCCCGCTGGGTTCAGAGGATCCGTCTGCAGCGACGGCGCACAAAGCCAAGCAGTTCTACCGCTTCTGGCTGTTCCCCTACCTGTGGGTGGGGCTGCACTTTGACCGGCTAACTCTGTTAGCCCTCTTTGACAGGTGAGAGTGCAAATAAGATAAATCACACTTTTTCACTAGAATGTAGCATCAGAATTAGTCAAACAGATTTTTTTTTCCTCCATAATGAAAGTCTAGGTGCAAAGCATGAGTACAAAGGGTGCACCGTTCTTCAACTATTTCTTGGCAATGTTCTTGGTAATTAACAATACTGGGGATAAAAAGGGATAAAAAGCTTAAATTGTATTAGCAGAAATCGTTATATCTGTACAGCAAGGGCCAGAGAAGTTATGTAAGCTCTACATTAAGCCTAAACATCAGAAAACTCCTCTTACATAGTATAATACAATAGTATTATATGAGAATTAAAAACTAGATTTTATTAGTTAATAATCCCCGAAGCATTTTTCTTCTTTTCTTACCAAGTTACAACATTTATCGTGTGCGTGTATCGAAGTCCTTCAAACTGCAAAATTAAGTATAGCGTATTTTTAAATATTTAAACTGGGAAGACTAGTGTTTGCTCTAACGAAACGTCTTTCGTAAAAAAAAAAAAAAAAAAAAACGTTTTCACTTTTGCTTGGTGTGCAGCATCCCAGAATAACCCGGCATTGTGGCGCCTGAAAGTACCAGAAGCAGCGCTGATTCTGGAATGTTATTTTGATACTAAGATTCCGTTTTCCGTTGTATTACATGAACTTTGAGTGTTTGAAGCGAAATAGACCTCTGAGACCAATCAGACGTTTATAGCATGTAAAATAAGCATTTTCTTTTTTTTTTAATGACTTACGTTGGATATCACATGGGATTTTAGTGTTTTAACTGGAAATTTCAACATACATCCTTTATGATCTTTGGGATGGCCCAAGTGCCTCAGCCTAAAGCCTGGATTAGATTTTTTTCTGATAGACAGCTTGATGTTGTTGCATTTTGTGGTGCCTTACTTTATTTGTACCAACCAAGTCTAGTATCAGTTTAGCCATGTGATATGATTCCAGTAGCCACTTTTGCTTTATCTTCCACTCTGCAGTCGTAAACTTTCAGCTCCTTCCCTTTATCCCACCCTTTTACAGTTAACTACCTCCAGTGTTGGTTGTAGTTTTTTTCCCCCATTTGCCGAATGGCACAGCCCTTCTGTCCCTAAAATCTCCTCTTCTGTTGCTTTTACTAACCAATAACTTGGGATGAAACCATTAGTCTGTAACCATCTGTAGCTTTATTCGCAGTGTCTGTCAGCCTATGGCTAAAGAAACGATGATTAAGGCGGAGCTTTTCAGAATTCAGAATGCAATAAAACTCTAACAAAGGTTTATGTTTAGAAACATTTAATAAAACACGAATTGTCAAAATATTTTGGTAAATGTTTCCACATTGTTGGAACCACAGAAGAACATATCAAACAGGGAAGCTTATGAAGATACCTGGACAAACAGTGAAGTAATAGAGACTGGATCACCTGACATTTTATTTCCTGCTTTTTGTGCCTAACAGGAACCGGGAGGTTCTTGAGAATGTGCTGGCTGTGCTGCTGGCGGTTCTAGTGGCCTTTCTGGGTTCCGTCCTGCTTGTACATGGCTTCTTCACTGACATCTGGGTGTTCCAGTTCTGCCTGGTCATTGCCAGCTGCCAGTACTCTCTCCTGAAGGTGAGTGTGTCCTCTAAAATGTGCCCACTCTGTACAATGCAGATTTTGTTTTTGTATATTTATTAGAGAATTAAACATGCATTCATTAATGATTCATGTCAGCCATTGGACATAATCCCCCTTAATTGCTTTGCCTCCACAGTTCAGTCTAACTCTCTCGTATTCTTTCAGAGTGTGCAGCCAGACTCCTCCTCCCCTCGACATGTATGTACACATACCTCCTCATATCATTCTTATAAGCAAAAGACCAAAAAAGGCTAAATATCACAGAGATGGAGAACGGTCTATGCGCACATTCACGTATCCCAGCGACATGGACTTGCTACCTATATAGATTAGAATGGTCATTGTTTCTATGTTTGAACCAACTGTGATCATCGACCTGTTTCTGTCCCTGTCACCTGTGCGTTTGATTGTTGCCGGATGGTAAACGAGACCGGTATTGGTTGTTAAATATTTGAAAGCTTTGAACCTAAACAGAATTGCTACAATAGCGCACACAGGAATTTTGCTCAAGTTACCTACCAAGTCAGTCAGGTTTCCTGTGGTACCAACTAAAACTAAGGTTGCTGCATATTTGACGTTGTTGTGGAATTCTGTGTGATACCCAGGATTTCTCATGTGTCTCACAATGAAGTCAGTCATTTTATTTGTTTTCCGAAGTGGATATTTTTAGGATGTTGACCCTGTGCCCATTGACTCCTGTGCTCCCTTATAGGGCCATAATCGGATCATCGCTTACAGCCGACCAGTCTACTTCTGCCTGTGTTGTGGGCTCATCTGGGCTCTAGACCACGGCAGTGGGCGGAGCAACTTCGGTGACATCACCCTGTATGGCGTGGCACTGACCAGCTCTCTGCTGCTGGCCTCAGCTCGGGACTTGGTCATAGGTGAAGTTCTTCCCTTAACTTTCTCGTTGATACTTCCACTCATCCTTCATTCGCCTTAACAAGATGAGTCCTGTTTATGAAAGTCCATTCTGAAGGGAATTCCACGTCTGTTGTATTCCCAGGTCCGTCTGCACTGGCACTGTGGACATTGAAGCAGCATTTACTAAGGCGTTTAATTAGTCGCAGAACTCGTGCGCATAAAACCCATGCACGCATACCCTCTCGTGAGCAGAAAACCCATCCTCACTTTGTGCTCACGTCTGCACAATGCTCGCTCGCTCGCCGTTAAATTAGTCTCAAAACCTCAGACCATGCATGTGTATGCGAGTAGAAAACCCGTCCTCAAACCCATCCTCAAACCCATCCTCTCTACGCACTTGCGTCTCCCCAACACTCGCTCAATTGACATGTTCAGTTTTGAGACTTTGGAGGCGGAAAAAAGTGCCTGATGTGTCCACTTCGTTGATTGGTCACTTTGAATCCGGTGATTGACTGTTTGCTTTGGACGAACAAGATGATCACTGACCAGTCGAAGTGAGAACAGTCAGTTTCACGCTGTACCATTATGTCGGACCAAGGAAGTCTAACACTAAGTTAACATCTTTCAGAGATCATATTTTATTATTGCACGTTCTAGGTAGTAATCGGAGTCATACGTATATGATTCAGAATGTAATACTGTACTTAATTATTTGTTGATACTGGCCGATAAACACACCAGTGTGAATCAGGGGAGTTCCAGCACTATTTTTCACACTTCAAGCACTGTGTAAATACATGCACATTTTAATAAATTAATACCCTTTCAAAACAGGCACCTCACAAATGTCATGATGCCACATCGAGGAAGTCTTACCCTACCTCTTCCAGAGATCCTGTTTTAATATTGCAATATTTAATATTGTGTGTGTGTGTGTGTGTGTCTGTGCGTGTGTGTGTGTGTGCACGTAAAGCATTGCTTCAAATTCAGCGCAGGATTTCTAGAATTTCCTGCTTCATCTAACTGTATACAAGTCACTGCAGAATGACAATTTGCAACCATTTAAACCCCACAAAGCATGCATGAATTGTACCTCTTCCCTGTATTTGAAAGCCTTACATTACGTTACTAGACATAGGTTTGATGTATTCAATAAGTGGTGCCTGACTATTTTACATGTTCTAATCATTTTAATTTGTCATATAATGTGTACCAGCATATAATGTGTTCACATCATTTTTAATATTTCTGGATGTTGCTATTTTGTCCCCCCCCCCCCGCCAACATTTCCTTGGCCTGCCCCACAGTTTGAATATCTGTGGTACAAAGCTACCATTAATGCATCCGCTGCAGTTCTTTCTTTTATGTTACAGAAAATGATGGCCATAGTGCAATAGAGAAAAGAGAGAGAGTATGTTTTTAAATATATATAAACAATATACATGACGTTTTCAATCATGGGCATTAAACCTTACAGAAAGGGATACAAGTAAATACATGAAAAGATTCTGCGAATTGCCATGTGACGGCTTAGCCAGAGCTAATGACAGGGCTGTCTGGGCAATGCCCTGCTGCTCCTTCTACCAGCCCCAAATCTGGTTTCCCTTAAACTTATTAAATGTATATTAAGTTACATTTCCTTTTCTTTCCATTGATTTGGAGTATGACGTGTGTTGCTTTCTGCATTTGTGTCTGTGTATAATCCTTCTCCTACTGCTTTGCTCTTGGGTTTCCATGTAATAACCTCTCTGATCACTCTGTTGCAGTGTTTACTCTGTGTTTCCCGGTCGTTTTCTTCGTGGGGCTGCTGCCGCAGGTCAACACATTCGTCATGTACCTGTTTGAACAGCTCGACATCCACGTGTTCGGAGGAAATGGTGAGCCGCTACTTCCGCTTTCTTCGGTCCGGTCTGTAATTAACTCGTGGAGTTCACAGAAACTTCAGAATCGTTGATATTTTCTTAGTTGGTCATAAGAAAACCCTCTAACTCAATGGCTTTATGATTTATCAGTGAGGACATTTTTCCTGAAATATCGCCTTGTGATTTTAATTTGGAATTTAGCTATTCTGTTGTGCACTTGCAGTGATGGGATTTTCGTTGTTTTAATAGTCTTCACTTGTTGTGGCTGAAGTTATTTTTTTGCTCGTACCTTTGCTGACTTATGCTGTTTTCCCTTCAGCTTCCACCAGCTTACCATCTGCAGTGTACAGCATTATACGCAGTGTTGTCACTGTGGCCCTATTGTATGGACTTTGCTACGGTGCCCTAAAGGTGAGGCTTCTCACTGCATACTGTGCAGTGCTGGCTCGGATACACTTACAATAAAATTCGACAGAGACCTCTTTTGAGCAGCTGATGCAATTAGACACGAGAGGCTTTTAAATGATGATGCATGTTTTCTTGTGCGTTTTCACAAAGTAACTGTGATCTCTGTGCACGTCACAGGAATCTTGGGATCCCCAGCACATCCCTGTGCTGTTCTCTGTGTTCTGTGGCCTTTTGGTGGCTGTGTCCTACCATCTGAGTCGACAAAGCAGTGATCCTTCTGTCCTCATGTAAGCACATTTTGTAAACCCCTGAAAACACTTGATTGCCTCGGCGCTTTAGTGTAAATTCTCCTACGATTGGTGGTAATTCCACCTAACTCCTGCTGTGACAGTAATTTGCTAAATTTAGTACCTTTTAAGCATCACATCCCACACTTTCAGCATCTTTCAGAGGCCTTGCTACCAGTGGTACTTCTAAAAATGAAAAAGTTTGATATTTCTGTTACGGTGTCTGCTTAGCTGACAAACTCTCTCTCCTTAGCTCATTGGTCCAATCCAAGGTTTTTCCTAATATAAAAGAAAAAAACCCAGAGGACCCCCTCGCTGAGGTGCATGACCCCCTGCCTGAAAAACTTAGGAATTCTGTTGTAAGTAGTATTATCTTCAAATTACATCCTCTTTCTCATATACACACATTCACATACAAATGAATACATGTCCAATTAATCTGCTTTATAATTATAGATGCGTATTTTAGCTATTGGGCTTTGGGATCTAGGGTATAACCTTAACTGAGAAGGATACCATTGACCATACACTAATTTATAATTGTAAACTGGGAATGGACCAGAACAACCAGTACAAATAAATGATGGCAGGTTTGGGACGTCTTACATTGTTAACTTTGGAATGGGAAAGTGTTGAGCCAAAACAATGGTCATAATACCGTCCTACTCCATTAACAGACTGTTTGTCGCTGGGTGTCGTTGATATTAATCAAGGAGAATATTTTGTTCCCGCTTCTCACTTTTTTTCACTTTCCCTTCTCGTTTGCAGAATGAGCGGTTGCAGTCAGACCTGATTGTGTGCATAGTCATCTCCGTTTTGTACTTTGCCATCCATGTCAGCACCGTGTTCATTGCGTTGCAGGTAGGGGGGGGGGGTCTGTTCATTGGAGTTGTGTATAGGATATGGTGTAATCTAACTTTTGTCAATAATAATAATAATAATAACTATATTAATCTTTAGTAATACATGAACACAGTTGGATATTTGTAATGTGCTTTTCTTTTTTTTTGCTTTGACCCTAAGCCAATTCTAAGATACGTGTTGCACACTCTGGTGGGAGCGGTGGGATTGCTGACCCATTACCTCCTACCCCAAGTTCGCAAGCAATTGCCTTGGTACTGTTTCTCCCATCCTCTGCTCAAGACCAAGGAGTACTACCAGTTTGAGGTCAGAGGTAAGTAGACCAAAGAGAACAGAACATAATGGGAAGTTTTGTACTGTAATTTCCAATGTCAAGCCTTTTTATTTTATGACACAATCCAATGTAATTATGAGGTACAGTCTGACCATAATCCTCATTTTATTGCCTAAAGGTTTTGTTTAAAGATTTCTTACTAGTGACATGACTAAACGTTTTTTCCTGCCCCTTTCCTCTCTGTCCTCAGGAGCGGCTCATGTGATGTGGTTTGAAAAACTGCACGTTTGGTTGCTATTCGCAGAAAAGAATGTCCTCTATCCACTTGTCATCCTGAATGAATTAACCAGAAGTGCCCAGGATTTCGCTGATCCCAAAAAGCTTGACATAGAGTGAGTGCTCTTGTACATCTGCTAGTCTTTTTTTCCCCTCTCCTTTCTGAAAGTGCTCCTGAAACGTGGACAACAGTCTCCCCGTATGCACAGTTCTGGTAACTGTGGTTTCAATCATCCATTTTTTCATTCTCTTAAAAATTAGTCAAAAAGGTCAGAATCCCTTTCATTTGGTTGGGTCCAGATGTACAGTACTGTGTTATAATGTACAGTGTACTTTATTTTACTATATTTAATGTTGGCAAAGTCTTACTGTGCATGTTTTATCAATTGCCATACTTAAATACTTGAAAATCACATATATATGGGGTTCCATGGATGGTCTGCGATTTAGGCTATCCATGGTAGATCTTGGAACATACCACCTACAGATATGGGGGGATGACTGTATTTTAATATTTGTTACAACCTCCCTTCCCCACTCTCTCAGGATGGGCGCTCTGATGATCACGGTAGCTGGTCTTAAGCTGCTCCGCTCTTCCTTCAGCAGCCCCACCTATCAGTACGTGATGGTGCTCTTCACCTTCCTCTTCTTCAACTTCGATTACCGTAACCTCTCAGAGACCCCGTTGCTCAACCTCTTCCTCATGTCCATCGTCTTCAGCAAGGTAAGGGATCTGACTGCGGTCATTCTTGTGGATGCCGTGCCTTTTGTTTTAATTGAAGTGAGGCTCGTAATTTGTGAAGCCTGTTTGTACGTAGCGTTAACGATGTTTTCTTTGTATCGCAGCTGTGGGAGCTGTTCTACAAGCTGCGTTTTGTCTATACCTACATTGCTCCCTGGCAGATCACCTGGGGCTCTGCATTTCATGCTTTCGCCCAACCGTTTGCTGTTCCTCGTATCCTTTTGCGTTGTGGCTGTAAATCTTACTTGTCGTAATTGTCATAGTGTCAAAATTCTCGACTGAAAATATTTATGCGTAGAAGTTTCAGGGCGAAAATCCTCTGAATTAGTCCCAACTTACTAATAATAAAAGCGGCCCTATTATGCTTTTTTTCCGGTTTACCCCTCTAGTATGTTATGTAGCTTAATGTGCATGTAAGCAGTCTGCAAAGTCTTAAGGCCCAAAGTACACGCCAAAGGGAGTAACTCTCACCGCAGAAACCACTCTCCTCTAATCTGCCTGAAACGCCTCGTTGGAATTTCAGCCCTCACTTACGCGGTGATGTCACCTCGTAACACAATCCTTATTGGCCGCCTTCTTGCGAGGATCTGTGCGCAGACTGCAAGAAGTGGGGGGAAAATGTGGGACAAGCTGACCAATCGGCACATTGTGCTCATCCTGGGGTGGAGTTTAAAGCCCTAACAGACCGGACAGTGAATAGAGATGTACAGTATGAGGACAAATGTTTTTTTGGAACATCGAAGCATGCAAATCTATTCTAGTAGACCCCAAAAATAGAATTATGCACAAATGAGCAACATAGGGCCTCTATAATGTACTTCATGATGTATAAGTCATTGGCATGTAATGTCCAGTATTTGTTCTTGACTTCTGTCCGCACTAGACTCTGCCATGCTATTTGTCCAGGCAGTAGTGTCTGCAGTTTTCTCCACACCACTCAACCCCTTCCTCGGTAGTGCCATCTTCATCACCTCCTATGTCCGTCCTGTCAAGTTCTGGGAGAGGGACTACAAGTATGACTCTACTTTTCTTCCATAACATCTGTGTGTTTTAAAATACAGGTGATATTTTTCTTTTGACAAATACGTTTGTAGAGTGATTTAAAAAAAAAAAAAATACATAGGAGATGTTTTATTTTCTGTCTTCTGTTTTGTCTTCTGCAGCACGAAGAGAGTTGATCATTCCAACACCAGATTGGCCTCCCAGCTGGACAGGAACCCAGGTTGCGTAACATCATAACGTTTTCTGGAATAGTCTATAGGATAATGGTGACTTTGTATCATTTTGTTAATCAAATGCTTAACTGGATAGGGATTTGTGCCTGTAACCGGATGGATGTGGATTCGAATCCTGTAGCCATGAAAGTAATTGTTGAACCCTTGACAAGATCCTTAACCCCAACTGCTCCAGAGCCATTCGATCTCAGCTGATCCTATTCTCTGACCCTAAAACTTGCTCTCATGTGTATATATACACATTTGTCTGAATCTCTCATGAAAAACAAGATGGGATATTTTTTTTTTAAATAACTAAAATGCCCTGTTTCCCCATTGGAGGGGAACGCAGTGCCACTGATGTACCCTATTTCAGAGGAAATTTACTTTTATACCTTGAATAAAAAACTGGTCCCTTTTACCCCCTCAAAAATGTTCAGTTTTCTTAGAACTGATTTTTATTGAAGGGCTGCTTTTTATGGTAATGGCATAATGTCATATATTCCTGTTTATTTCACCCTCAGTCAGTATGTTCCTTTGTTGTGCATTAGTTTGCTGCTCCAAGTAATGTACAAAAACATAATTTAAATAATCGATTATCTGCTTCCAGTGTATATTCTCATACACTCCTCTTACCATGCTATGATTTTTTTATTTTTTTTCCCTTAGGTTCAGACGACAACAACTTGAACTCCATTTTCTACGAGCACCTCACCCGCTCCTTACAGCACAGCCTCTGTGGCGACCTCCTTCTGGGCCGCTGGGGGAACTACAGCACGGGGGACTGCTTCATCCTGGCCTCCGATTACCTCAACGCACTGGTGCACTTGGTGGAGATTGGCAATGGCCTAGTGACATTCCAGCTGCGTGGGCTTGAGTTCAGAGGTAAGAATTGGCACACAAGTTTCGTAATGGTGGAAGCACATTAGTGGTATTGCATTAAAAAAAAAATATCAAAGGATATTATATGGAATTGTATAGAATAGCATTTTACCCAATGTATCTTATTAAACAGTCTTTAAGTGTATTTATTTCAACTAATCTAGAAAGATCATCAGTCTTACAAGTATGTGTTCCCAGAGTAGATAGATAATTATCAGGTTTTTTTTTTAAACAACCCTAGTCTGAACAATAGTGTAGATAGTTAGTTAAACATATAGTTGGACATTTGTAGTGGCAGTATCTAAACCAGCCATACTTTCCTCGTCGAGCCACTTTTATCTTGGTATGCATTTCCGATTATCAAAATCATAAATTTACCATATTCAGGCATTCAGTTATGAACAGATTTAATTGGAATTTGGCTCTTGCGACAGCGTTCTGATCTTCTGCAATCCCACAATGCTTTGCCTCCCTAGGGACGTACTGTCAGCAGAGGGAGGTGGAGGCCATCACAGAGGGGGTGGAGGAGGACGAGGGCTGCTGCTGCTGTGAGCCTGGACACCTGCCCCACATGCTGTCCTTCAATGCCGCTTTCGGGCAGCGCTGGCTGGCCTGGGAAGTCCTGGTTACAAAGTACGTGCTGGAGGGATACAGCATCACCGATAACAGCGCTGCCTCCATGCTGCAGGTGTTCGACCTGCGCCGCATACTCACCTCCTACTACGTCAAGGTGAGGGAGTATTAAATGGGGACGGGAGTATTGTGACCGCCAACAAATATCAGTGAATAAACCGACAACTGGCCAGCTCAGAGATTTAGATTTTTGCACTTGACATTGTTACATTGTTACGTTTCGTCTGTAGCGCAGGATCGCTTATAATGACCTTCTGACTCTACTTTTATTTAGGGAATTATCTACTATGTGATAGCCTCAGCCAAACTGGAAGAGTGGCTGGCTAACGAGACAATGCGAGACGGCTTGCGCAGCTGCAGTGAGCGGAACTATGTGGACCTGGACCCAACCTTTAACCCAAACATCGACGAAGACTATGACCATCGTTTGGCAGGCATATCCAGGGACAGCTTCTGTGGGGTCTATCTCGGTTGGATACAGTACTGCAGCTCACGGCGACTGAAGGTAAAGTGGTTTCCTGTGGAGTAATGAGGTGCAGTTATGCTGGAGTAATAAAAAAGAAGATGAGAACCAAACACTGCCTAAGTGCCCCTGGGCATGCCAACATTCTAGAATACAAAGACAATGCCTTTATTACAGCATGATCGATACGTAAAATGTAGTGAGAGTCCTTCAATGAGCCAGTATTCCCTGCAGATCGTTGTAAGCTGGTAGATTGCAGGCCATGATGTCACACTTTAATGGGACGTAAACGCCGCTTCAGCTCAGATGGTGCCCACTCCACAAAATAAAAGGCACTGATGGTCAGAACTGGCAGACACACTTTGATGGACAAACCCAGTGGAGCATAAGGGCATGTGCATCAGCATCGGCGGCCATGGTCACTGTAGGCTTAATGCAGTGTCTCTCAAGCCGGTCCTCGGGGAACCCGAGACGGTCCATGTTTTTACTCCCTCCAAACTCTCGGAGGACTTGTCTGAGAAACACTGCTTTAAAGGTGTGGGTATACGGAACTAAAGTAATTAGTAATTATAAAGTAATTTCTGCATCTTGTGCATATTCTGGCAGACTGTTCCATAATCTAGGAGCACTGTAGCTAAAAGCTTTAGCACCAACAGTTTCTTTATATGTGGAATAACAAGGAGACCAGTGTTCTCCCCCAATGAGCAGGGGTTATTTTCATACTTTCTGCTTCTATTAATCATTAGGTGATTAACCAGCCATTTGGAGATGAACCACATTCTCTCTTGAGACCGTCGGTGTTTACCTGATTTGGGCATCCATTCAAAACCTTAACCCCCAGCTCCCTGGGCGCTGCCATGGGTGGCTGTCCTTCGCGGACAACTTACTCTACAAAGAGCAAGTTGAGGGAGGCGTAAGGACAATCTCCCCATGGGGATCAATAAAGTATTGATTATTATTATTATTATGCCACAAATAGAGGGATTAATTGGAAGGGTTGGAAGCGTTGGGATATTTTGTGCTTATTCCAGATGCATGTGATCACAAACTCATAGCTGCTATTAGGAAGATTTACAAACAAGTATATATAGACAATTTAGCTTAAAATTGAACTGACCTCATAGTAGTTCCAGTGTTCATTGCAGTTTCTCCATACTCCAGCCACCAATCTATCTCTTTCCATAGCCTCTGGACAGTGAGAAAGATTCTGCGCTGGTGACATTGTGTTATGGACTGTGTGTACTGGGACGGAGGGCACTGGGAACTGCTTCGCATCATATGTCCAGGTCAGTCGTGGTTCTACTGAAGCCCCACCCGTCAAACGCAAACTTCACAATGATGTTTGTGGGATGGGCTACAACATAGTCGAAAATGTAGGGGACACAGAGGACAGGGCAGGGTACACGGTTCTGGGCTGCACTGGTGCTGAGTGTGAGGGTGGCTGAATAGGGGGGTCCAGTCTCACTGTCAGGGGGCAGGGGGTTAAAAAGTCATGCACAGACGGGCTGACTAAGACCCAGATCAGAGCCGGCTGTAAATTTGGTAGGGCGTGATGGTGTTAAATACGGAGCTGTCAATGAATAGCGACCACATCATACAGTATGTCTCTGGGTGTTGGTGAGATTAGCATATAGTATGGCTGTGATGACATCATACGCTATGGGCAATTTAAAGATGACAGTTTGCCCGAGTGCGTGAGTGAGTGAGTGAGTGAGTGAGTGAGTGAGTGAGTGAGTGAGTGAGTGAGTGAGTG